GGGCCCGCAAGCCTACTCCGCGCCCCCTCAGGCCGGCCCCGCCCCGCCTGCGCCCGTCAACCAATGACGCGGTGAGGTCGACTCCTATGCAAATCTGCAGAGGCCTCGGTATTCATTGAGAAAAGCACTGCTCTCGGCCCGCCCTAACCCAGGTCGGTCCCTCTCTTTCCTCCCCTTCCCCCAGATTCTCTGCCCTATTTAAGCTGGTGTGTGAGCAGAAGCGGGTTTTCAACAAATGGGAGAACTGGTGGAGGACTTTGCAATCAATCACTCAGGCTAATTATTCTTTTAGCAGATTAAACTGCTCTGATTTTTAAAAATCGGGTTCGAGAATAAAAGGACATAAAGCAAAGGAAGAAGGGACAGGGGTGGCAGCGCCTCATTGCCAAATCCAAGAAAAGCTTGTAAGCGTGCCGGTGCCCAGAAACAGAATCTCCTCTGATTCCCGGCAGTTGAGCGCATTTCTGGGAACCTTTGGATCCTGCCTTCCACGCACCAGGAAAAGTTGGCGATGGAGAGGGGCGGGAATTGGCCACAGCCTCGAAGAGTAGTTCTTCAGCCACAAAAAAATAACATTTTAGACCACTGCCAGTCACCTTGATTTTCAGAATGGTGTCTGAACACGCGCCACCTTCTCCAGGGTTTGGAAGGTGAATGGTGCTGGGGATCGAACCCACAGCCTCCTGTGTGCTACACAGACATTCGCTAAGCTACAATCCCAGCCCTTTGTAAATGTTTTTAATTCTGATTTCTCAGCTGAGGAAACTGAGTCACAGACAATTTGTTATTCCCCAGGTCCTATGTGATTCGGGGCCCCTCTCCATTCAACAGCCCAAGGAGATGCAGAGGTGCCTTAGCTGGAAGGAACAATTCTGGGGTGATGGACCACTGCTGCTCATCGTCTTGGGAGTGACAGTGCAGAACCTCAGGCCTGTCCCTCCTCACTTGCTAAGCGAAGGCTCCATGCTGGTATTCCTTTCCGCTTGTCTCTAGAGAACTGCCAACACAGAACTCAGATACCAGCTGTGTTTATAGCAAGCAGCTCAATGGGTTCACAAACAAAACTAGAGTCTTTCGTTCACACAAATCCCTCCATTCCTTCTTCTCAAAGGTGGACTGTCAGACCTTGTGCTAACTCTAGGAGCTGAGAATAAGGCAAGATTCCCCCTAGAGCTCACAGCCTGACAGCTAGCAGAGGTGGGTGTATGCTCAGAATCAGGCAATGTGGGGTGGAATATCCCTCACTCAGTAGTGTGCCCACTGCCCCACAGAGGTCCCTCATGGAACCTCTGCTCTTCAGGACCTGGGCTCTTTGCAGTACTGTGGCATCTCCTTTGGCTAGGGGAAGACCTAATAACAACAGATAGGGCATCTCGGAATGACATGCTTGAGGCTTTATGTTTGCCACAGTGTTTGCAGCTCACACTTTGACAAGCAGCTGGCCTCTGCCTGGAACTCAGAGAGGATACAATGACTTTCCAAGTTCAAAAGCAAAGATTTATCTGACCCAAAGAGAAGAAAAGATGCTCCTTTCTTGGTGGAGGACACGAGGGAGGAACAAAAAAAGAAAAGAATTTGAAGGTTAACAGTTTCCTTGCATATGCACATATATTTTTGGATTTTCATCAGATTTTGCTGGCATGCATACTGATAAAAGAATAACTATTTGGAATATGAAAAAGACTAAAATGCCAGCCCTTTCACTCACAACTCTATATCTACAGGTCTTCAAAGGCAAATTGACTCTGAAATTTGTCAATGACTGTGAACCAGCTGCTGAAATCAATGGCCACTAGGGGGCTGCAGAGACTTGAAACAAGATGAGCTTCCTCCCAGTTTTAACATCCTCCCTGAAAATGCTTTTCCATCTCCTGGACACAGGGGTCTCAATTAACTCTCGTGCTTTTACGAATCCACTCAAATTTCTCCTGAGGAAGGAAAAGTGTCTTTCCCTATAGATCACATCACATTAAATCTCAAAACTGGTATTCCTTTTTTGTTAGATAATTTTTAAAAGAAGATAGAATGGATATTAATGGTCTATCAGGCACTATCCATACGCATCTATAGATGTGTATCTGTGTGTGTGTGTGTGTGTGTGTGTGTGTGTGTGTGTGTGACATTACATAGTGGCCTTTTAGTGGAAGATATATATTATTATTTCCATTACAGAGACAAAACACCCAAAGAGAGGCAAAATAATTTGCCCAAGGTCAAACAGTAAGTAAATAACAGAGTTGGAATCCAAACCAGTGGTCTTTTCTTCCAAAAATTACACATCCCACTGGGACAAATTAGGCTTCTCATCATGCCTACAGCCATAATTTTTGTATCCTTATTCTATATCATCAACACCAAGAGGAAAGCAGATGGAAAAGCGGAGTTAAGATCATGAGGGAGAATATAGACAGAAAGATAAAAAGTGAGAGCTATGATGGTTAATTTGCCTTATGCACTTATTTGGGCCAGTGCATTTCAAAATAATTTTCATGCAATATCTCATTTAATACTCATAGTAACACTATGAGGGGAAGTAATAATACCCATTTTACAGATTACCAACACAAGCTCATGAAGGGTAACTCTCAATAAAAAGGCTACACAGGTAACAAGATTTGAACTTGGATATATGAGTAGGAAGTCCAGCATCTTAAACCCTGGGTGACTTCACAAAAGAGAAAATGGGTGGGGAGGGATGGACTGAGATGGGCGGAAGAAAAATAGGAAGCTGAAAGCCCAAATCAGAGTGAGACAGAAGAAGTAAGAATGGCTCACATGGACAGTGAAAGTCCGGAGGACAGCCAAAAGATGTGGGCTGCTCTGAGTCACCTTGAAGATGACTTGGGAAGTTACGTGAGGGAGAAGGGAGGTCAGTAGATCATGTGCCAAGAAAAAATGGTCAGGGAGGACACCCAGGCCATCAAGGCTCTCCTCTGAAAACTCTCAACTCTGGAAAGGAAGAGACAACTAAGCCAAGGGGATGTTGAATTCTCTGTAAAGGATGCAATGATAAAAGTAGCATTACAAATCCAGGCAGTGTGACCTAAGGCAAAACACACCTCACAACTGTAAAATCTGGCTGGGACTCAAAGGATTAATTAAGCCAGGCATTCATTTGGTAACAAATATTTCTTCAGCAACTAAGGTACACAGGATACTGTTCCACATTCTCAGAATAGTGCTCTGAACAAATAAACGGAGTCCTTCACCTCCAGAAGCTTACCTTCCAACAACAGGAGATGGATGCTGAAGCTTACAAGGTAATTTAGGAGAACAGACAGTAAGTGCTGTGAGAAGAAAAAAATAGGGTCCTGCCACAGATGACCCCTTGGCGAAGGGCCTGGGGGTGCTGCCATCGCCCTGGCTTCAGACTTGGTGAAGGACTCTTGGAGGACGTTAAAATGTACCTACATGCTGATTAGTGAACAGAAGTTAATCCTGCAAAGATTTTAAGAGAGAATGTTCTAAGCAAAGGAAAATCAATGCAAATCCCTGAGATGAGAACGGGTTTTCATGAGCAGAGAACAGTATGAGGTCATTACAGCTGGAATGCAGTGAATGGAGGATGTAAAGTCAGAGCGGTGGGCAGGGTCCAGCTCATGTAGGGCTGTAGAAGCCAAGACAAAAAGATTAACTTTGATGTTGATCGCTATAAGACACTGGAAGGTTGGGTGGAAGAATCTGGCTTATGCTTTAGATCCACACTGTTTAATATAGTAATTATTAGCCTGTGTGACTGCTAAGCTTAAAATGTCTAATTCAAATTGAAATGTGATATAAATGTGAAATAAA